TCTGTTCATTATCTTTATGGACAGAATTTCTAGGCGCAGCCAGGTGTCGGGTGGGGTCTCTGGGAGGAGATCTAGGGGAAGACCTAGGACACACTGGAGCAACTACGTCGCTCGGCTGGCCTGGGAGCGCCTTGGGGTCCCCCCAGAAGAGCTGGAGGAAGTGTCGAGGGAGAGGGAAGTCTGGGTGTCCCTGCTCAGACTGTTGCCCCCGCGACCCGGCCCCGGATAAGGGGTTGATGATGAATGGACGGATGGATGTTAACATTCTGAGTACCAGTAACCAAGGCTGTGTATCAATGTGGGCCACATTTTAGTTAATCAGGCTAGATACGGACACAAAAACTGAGCCCATCTCCTGGACAAATACAGAGAAATACGGGAGATAAAAGAATGGAGAGACCGGGACTGAAACAAAAGTGGATGAATCCTCTGAAAAACATAGCACAAATACATGACATATTATTTTCATAACTGCCAGATATTCTGTCTACTATTTTGACATATTAAAACATTTTGTCAATGATAAGATACAATAAGATTTAAAACTTTTGGGTTTATAGTACCGTGTGGTCCAGAGAATTAACAAAAAAACAACTTCCTCTACAAATATATGCCACAGAAGTGAAATAGAAAAAACTACTAGCGGTGATATCTATTACTGCATGCACGTGTGGAACAGGCACATCTGGTCTCTGTTCTTTCACTAAGTATGACATTCAATGTAAAGGTATAGTTACTTAATGAATTACTAAATTAAATGACGTCAGATAACAGATACTGGGATTTTAAATATTATCCAACGTCAACATTTTATTATTAAAATGAGTTATTAATCTGTCACAGCTTAAACAAACTAATCATCCCGATAAGGAAAGGAAAGTGAATTATTTGTCATTGTGACACAGCACACACAACGATGTGTGCTGTGACAATGTGACCTCTGTTTTTAACCATCACCAAAGTGAACAGTGGGCAGCTTTAAGCGCCCGGGGAGCAGTGTGTGGGGACAGTGCCATGCTCAGAGCACCTCAGTGGCAACTTGGCAGCTGGTGGACTCAAACCTGAAGCTTTCCAGACCCAAGTCCGCTTCCTTAACCACTAAGCCTCCACTGCCCTCAGATAAAAACCATATGATAAAATTGTGCGAGGTGAGAAAATATTATATTTAGAGATTAATTAATAACTGCCCTAAGGTTTGGCTCTGAGCTGATCCCACCCCTCCCCAAACTCCTCTGCTTCTTCATCTTTTGTTGTGTTCTGGTTCCTAACAAAACAAACACCATTAAAGTTTTACTTTTTTCTCTCACCAGTAAACATTTCCACCAGGAAGAAGCCACTTGCAAAAGAAAATAGAAATACAGACAACAAGTACATGTCACCCTGAATCTATATACAACCATCCACTTCTGGTGCCCTGGAATATTTTTATGCTGTGTTTTGATGTTTTTGTTTTTGGACAGGGGGGAGCGATTGCATACTGTAACCTACAAGACCAGTCCTAGACCATGAACCACCTGGGTTGACTCCAAGAAAATCATGTGGTATAGATTATTATCCACTGCATATATACTATTTGTTCTGCTTTTCCTGAACAAAACGTCTTAAAACGTTACAGCTGTGTGCACTCAGATTCACTGCAGTGGAGCAGACTAAAGTGAAATAAACAGTTTTTAACTACTTCTGGAAGTGGAGCACTTGACACTCAGGCACATAAACCCCTCTGATCACTTCCCCTTTCCTCTGCTTCCAATCCTTCTACAGGGCTCATCTATGCCTTGTTATGTTTTTTGCTGATGAGAGAACAAGCACATAAACTAGATAGAGACCGAATCTGGTCTTTTTCACTGTAGATCATGAAGAGGCTGCTGCTGATGTGGGGCCCAACACGGTCAACTAAGAGCATATGTGGCCATTTCACAATTGCAAACCAGATACGTGTAAGCTCTCGTTTCTAAACAAACATTACATTTCTGTTTGCATTTTCACATTTTCGACATAGTAAATTTTTTTATGGTATAAAGTAAAACCATTTTCTAGATTAAAGGTCTTCTCATATCATGGTACCAGCACCAATGGTGGTGCTTGGTCTACCTCTGCTGCCACACCAGGGATTTCGATTTAGTTTTTTCAACTATGGTGGTGAAAAAGTGGAGGTACATAAATTGAACAAAAAAAACACAGCTAGTTGTTAACCCTCCAGTTGTCCTCATATTCTGTATACACCCCGTGTCCTCTGGGTCAAAATGACCCGTCTTCACTAAACCCCCAATATAAGCAACTTAATTGAATTTTAAACACCAAATCTTATTTTGCTTGAAGAAAAAGGCAACACTCGTTGCTATGACATTGTCAATTGTATTATTGTTTACTGTATAGGTAATAAGCAATATTTGTATAGTATTTCTATAGCTTAGGAAAGAATAGAATTGTGCAAAAAGGAGTTTTGAATCCTAAGATTAGCAGCCCAAAGTAGGCTTGCAGGTCAGTCTCATCCATCCTTTTCCAGCTGTCTCCATATTTGTGAAAACCCGAAATCTCCAGGATTATTTTTTCTATTGCTGGTGTGATAAACGTGTAGAATGTTGAGACAATGTCATGGGCGTGGGAAATATCTTGTGGGTCCTGGGGTCATCCTCATGACATTCTGTTCTGCCACCCTGCCGTGTTTGTCATATGCTGCCAAGGACCATGTTATTTTTTTTTAAAAAGAAAGTATTTCAGCTTCAGGGATTTCTTCTTCTTCTGAAGATGATTCATCATGCTCTGGGTTGTATTCCTCCCCATCTTCTTCTTCTAAATCAGAGAAGTCTTGTTGAACATCTGATAAAATCAGCTCTAGAGCCTATTCAATGTTACAACGCGCACTCATGGCTTCAGCACAGAGAGAATTCGGGTTACTGTCATCTGCAGCACCTTTATAGCCTCTGGGAGTCCACACAGACAAAGAGGCAATATTGTTACGTTTGGGTCAGATCGGGTCACAGGCAGTGCAGTCCGCGAGAAGACCACCTGTCTTGTCTTGTTTACGTCTGCTACTGATTGATCTGAGACACTACTAAAACATTCTCACATTCTGTGGTGTGTAACTAACTCTGTGACTGTGATTTCAACTCAATTTGACTGTCGGGTCATTTTAAAACGAAGACAATGTTTGTACCTTTTTTTTGTACAGCTTACATGGAAATATAAATAACGGCAACAATTCACTTTTTCTAATGTCAGGGTCAATCTAGGAAAAGTTTTTAAAACAGTGGCGGGTCATTTTGACCCAAGGACAACAGGAGGGTTAAGGAGAAAAAGACCGGAAATGGTTCAAATATGACTGGCAGGGAGAACGCCTTTGATCTTTTTAAGGTGTGCGCTGTTTGCCACTCTTCACAGAAGTCCGAAAGACAACTAGACTGCAGTTTGTTCTAAAGACATTTTGTCACTTATCCAAGAGGCTTCTTCAAGAACCTCTGAACTTGAACTGTGTAGAGCCAAATGTCAGTAGAACCTTCACAGCCAGTTCACAAAGAAGACGCAAATGCACCATATCCTTTACCTGAAATGTTGGATAGTATTTAGTTTAGATCGTAGCTTTGTTGCTTTACCATCTAAGGCAGGGGTGTGGAATTACATCTTTAGGATGCGCTGGGATGCATCATCAGTGATGTTCCTGGGGCCATCGGGACATCGTACAGCAGTAGTGGCCATAAAACCTTGGGAAGAATGGTATGCTGGTAGATCCATGCCTTGAAGCGACTGGGCAGTCCAGATTTGTCAACCTTGGTGAGCCAAGCACCTAGATCACCACAGGACCTCTGGATGACAGCTGTGTCTTTCAAGCTGCAGTCAAAGAGTTTCCCAAAACTCTTGACTGGCTTTTCAGAAAGTGTTGGAATGATGGTCTCTGAGATCTTGAACCGGAACTTGTCCACAACTTTTCCCTTCTTCAAGACCAAGGACCTAGACTCACCTGGTTTGAACCTCCTCGCCCATGAGGAGCTAGGCTAGCCCGCTCCTATTCTCTCTATATATGCTCCCTCTGGGCACATCATCAAGGAATACAACATTGATTTTCATAGCTACGCCGACGATACACAATTATACATCTCGGTTGAGCCTAACGGCCATTGGATAATGCAGAGAAGCAATCAGGTTCCAATTGAAGCGGTCTTTATTTGCAGAGCTCTGGGTTGTTATGCTTGTGTTACAGGATGCGCATCGAGAGCCAAATTCTAATTCTAATCCTAATTCAGTATGCCGAGTGCATACTTTTATATCAACAAGACATATTTTCCAAGAATGAATGTACAATACATATTTTCCAAGAATAAATGTCTATGTGGGTTCTAAAGCGTATCTTCCAAGAATCAATGTCTATCTATTCCTTCTAAGAAATAGTTCTTGGTGTGGTTGTGTCACTAAGTCACATCTGCAGAGCATGCACTATATGTCTATATTTAATATTATGTGGTTATGGAGCAAGCGGGTCTAGTGCAATGTTCGTGCATCAGCGGCGTCTTATGAAACCTTGTGTGGGTGTATCCTGTGAGCAGGTCATGAGCAGTTCGTGTATGGTGACATGAGGCCTTCAACACCTTAAACACATCCCTATCAGCTGTGTCCAATTGGATGAGTAACAGCTTCCTAAAACTAAATGAAGATAAAACCGAAATTCTACTCATCGGCTCTAAAGAAAGTCGTGAGGCTCTTCACTCCAGCCTGGGAAGACTAAAACGCTACATTAAGAACTTAAGAAGAGCTTAGGTGTGGTCCTTTACTCTGATCTAAGTTTTGGACCCCACATAAATAAAATAACAAAAACTGCCTGTTTCCATCTTAGAATCGCCAATGTACGTGCCTTTGTCTCTCAACAAGACGCCGAAAAATGTAACGCACTCTTTTCAGGCCTCCCAAAAAAGTAAATTCAGAAACTGCAGCTCATCCAAAACTCGGCTGCAAGAATTCTAAAAAAAAAAAAGAAAAACTCTAAAAGATTTCTAAAAAAAAAAAAAAAAAAAAATACCCCTAGTGTGTGTGTGTGAAGAGAGTGAACGCTAGGTTGTACAGATGCAGTCAGAAAGTCGCCGCTTTTGGTTCTGTTACATTGGATTTGATCCGTTACCTTGTCTTGCCTAGGGGACTATTGGCTACAGGACTTTCAAAAAAAAAAAAAAAAAAACATTACCCCTAGTGCAGACCTTCACTGGCTGCCGGTCTCCTTTAGAATTGACTCTAAAATACTGTTGCTAGTCTTCAAATCTATAAATGCCCTTGCCCCGTGCTATATCTCAGACACACTGTTCCTTTATACCCCTGCTCAAGCCCTCAGATCTGCTGCAGCCCACCTGCTGAGAATTCCTGATCCTCCACCTACTAAGAATATAGGGGAAGCAGCATTCACCCACTACGCACTCAAAAGATGGAACGCCCTACCACAACACTTCAGGGAGGCCCCATCCATCATCACCTTTAAACGACTACTAAAAACCCATCTCTTCACGCTCGCCTACTGGTAGCAGCACAAATCCATCAGCTGGCATCAGCAAGCAGCTGGCAGATGACTACCCACCTCACCTCCTGGACTCCCGGTTGAAAGCCCTACCAGCCCAGACAGAGGGCTCCCCTGGGGGGTGCTGGATCTGCCTGAGGTTTCTTCCTAGAGAAAGGGAGTTTTTCCTCACCCCCGTTGCCCCCAGGGGACAAAAAAAATATATGGCAACCCTGTCTTCTTCTTTGTCAAACTGTTGAACCACTGTTAAAACACTTCGCGCTACATGACGAACTGTGCTACACTATATTACCAAAAGTATTCGCTCACCCATTCAAATGATCAGAATCAGGTGTCCTAATCCCTTGGCCTGGCCACAGGTGTATAAAATCAAGCACTCAGGCATGCAGACTGTGAAACAAGACATTTGTGAAAGAATGGGCCGCTCTCAGGAGCTCAGTGAATTCCAGCGTGGAACTGTCATAGGATGCCAATTAGCTCACCCATTCAAATGATCAGAATCAGGTGTCCTAATCCCTTGGCCTGGCCACAGGTGTATAAAATCAAGCAAGTCGCCGACTTTCTGCACAGTCAATTGCTACAGAGCTACAAACTTCATGTGACCTTCAGATTAGCCCAAGTACAGTACGCAGAGAGCTTCATGGAATGGGTTTCCATGGCCGAGCAGCTGCAGCCAAGCCACACATCACCAAGTGCAATGCAAAGCGTCGGATGCAATGGTGTAAAGCACGCCGCCACTGGCCTCTAGAGCAGTGGAGACGCGTTCTCTGGAGTGATGAATCACGCTTTTCCATCTGGCAATCTGATGGACGAGTCTGGGTTTGGAGGTTGCCAGGAGAACGGTACATTTCAGACTGCATTGTGCCGACTGTGAAATTTGGTGGAGGAGGAATTATGGTGTGGGGTTGTTTTTCAGGAGCTGGGCTTGGCCCCTTAGTTCCAGTGAAAGGAACTTTGAATGCTTCAGGATACCAAAACATTTTGGACAATTCCATGCTCCCAACCTTGTGGGAACAGTTTGGAGCGGGCCCCTTCCTCTTCCAACATGACTGTGCACCAGTGCACAAAGCAAGGTCCATAAAGACATGGATGACAGAGTCTGGTGTGGATGAACTTGACTGGCCTGCACAGAGTCCTGACCTGAACCCGATAGAACACCTTTGGGATGAATTAGAGCGGAGACTGAGAGCCAGGCCTTCTTGACCAACATCAGTGTGTGACCTCACCAATGCGCTTTTGGAAGAATGGTCAAAAATTCCTATAAACACTCTCCTCAACCTTGTGGACAGTCTTCCCAGAAGAGTTGAAGCTGTAATAGCTGCAAAAGGTGGACCGACATCATATTGAACTCTGGGTTAGGAATGGGATGGCACTTCAGTTCATAGTATGAGTCAAGACAGGTGAGCGAATACCTTTGGTAATATAGTGTATATACATAAAGTTATTATTATCATTATGTGCCTCTCCAGCCCTTGTAAGATCCGCCTGCTACCAGGGACCGAGAATGTTGTCACGGTCAGGTCATCTATGTAGGCTCTGATCGGTGACTGCCGCACTCCAGACTTGGTTAGAGGCCCGCGACACTCCACCTCCGCGGATTTCACCACCATGTTCATGGCAAGGGCGAAAAGGGTTACCGAAATGGTGCAACCAGTGATGATTCCTTTCTCAAGCCTGTGCCATTTAATGTAATGGACCCGGAGGACACTGGAAGTTGTTGTAGTAATCCAAGATGAGCTTGTTGATCTTACTGGGGACATGGTGTCTGCGAAGAGTCTCCTCAACCAGTTTGTGCGGTATGGACCCATAAGCATTGGCGAGGTCTAGCCACAGAACTACCAGGTCGCCCTTACCTTCCTTTGCTTCCCTCAGGAGCTGTGTGACAACACCCATGTGATCCAAGCAGCCAGGTGTACCTGAGATCCCGCCTTTCTGTACTGAAGTGTCAATGTAATTGTTCCTTAAGCAGAATGTTGACAGCCGCCGCGACAGAATGCATGTCAAACATAAGGCCCGTGGGCCTTTCAATCAGGCCTGCTTGATGAATTTTGAAAGTAAATAAATTGCACAAATACTTGTGCGTGATGTTTTGTAAACTTATATTTCATTACATATGAATATTTTCTAATATACCTGTGCTTCATTGCATGGGAAAACACTAACCTATTCTTATTTCTAGGTAATTATGTCGTGATTGTACTCATCCAGCGCACTTGACATCTAATCAGGCTCAACCAAAATTAGTTTGACACTCCCATCTAAGTTATTATGCACGCACATAGAAACACGCACACACATGCACAGTTACTTTAGTTGCTCCCCTGTTCCGCGTTAAGACTCTCCATCTCTGTCCAGTGCATGGATTAGACGCTTATTATCCTCTTAGTTCTAAATGCCCCCCTCCCTACCTCTCCTCTGTTTCCAACTCATCTGTTGCCTAGGACTTGCACCGAGAACCTGACACGACAGCAAGATCCGCGCATAAACACGCTTGTGTCCTCTCGCGTTCGTCTTTGTGCTTGAAAAATAAAAGTCTAAGTGCTTCTAAATGCTTCAAAACTTGTTGCACTGCTTGTTGCAAAACATTTTGACAGTGTTTTGGTAATGTTTCCTTAAAATTTGATTAAAATGTTTTTGGGCTTGTAGTCATTTGGCAATTTGATATTTGATATTTTTTACTAATTGTTAGTCAAATTTGACCTTATGTCAGGTCATTTTAAGCTGCCAACTCTAAGCACATATGTTTATGAACAATTGAGAGATGACTGCATATATTTTTTAAAATGTGTTTTGGCTTGCTTCCCATCTTTTCCTTGTCACACCCCCATTCACACCCATTTTCTCATCCAGCTTCTTACTCCATATACTCACACTAAATCAAATGTTATGTAATCTTATATTTTTTTAACCTAAATAAAAGAGCAGAGGAAGGGTGCAGCAACTCGGAGTTGATGAGGAAGCTGCCAGAAGAGCAAGCTGCATTCTCCCCTTGCAAGAAAAAGATCCAGACGTCTTTGTGTTGTTACTTTGTCGTCATATATGTTAGAATAAACCTAACAGTCTTGAATAAGTTCCATACGAGATCTTGTTACTAGTATATACACACTGAAAAAAAATCATCAATGAGTTATGATTACTTATATATTTAACTAACTCTAACATAAAATAATGTTTTATGACATTTCAACTTAATTGTTTGAGTTGTCATTCTTCTGACTTATGATCATAAGTTACTTCAATGAGGGTGGTTGAATGAACTTACTGTTTTAAATTGAGTGGTTGCAAAACTGTAGCAAAAGGGGAGGAAAGGTCTTTGTGCATGCGTGAGTCACGAGACTTGTTGATGAGATCGTTGTTCCCGCCTATTTCATGTATCCGACAGTGAGCAAATTCACGCGCCTGCCACCAGTGAGAAAATTCTCCTGCAATCAGGTTGGGTGCTTCATTTTTACAAGTTTTGTAGCCTAGAATGTGCGTAGATGATGAAGCCTATAACATGATTAATGTCATCTGTCATTACCGATTTATATGTGCACTGTGAAATCCTGTGATAATAATTTAGCCAGGTACATTTTAATGGGCAACAAAGTTAAGAGCTATACATTTCTTAGCAGTTCAGGCTGTTATAGGTTCAAATTATGGGGTGCAAATGAAGCATAGGCATTTTATTCAAGCAGCAGGTGCAGCAGAGTTTTGCTGTTATTCACACATTCAGCACAGTAGTTAGCTGTTTATTTAGGCGGTCATTCAGGCTGTGGTTTGCTTACCGAACATTGTGTTAGCTAATGCTAAGTTTGAAATGAAACGGGGCAATCTTATAGATTGTCTAAACAAGTAAAACTAATTTAAAGACATTCTTAACGAAAACACCTATTCTGAAACCACTAAAAAGGGCTGGTGAACAGAACATGTTAATGAGTTCACTGTATTTTGAATATTGCAATATTGAAATGACTGAATGGGCATTCATTGTGACATATCAACAACAAGTCCGACCTTGTTTTGATTCAAATTACACTCAAAATATTGAGTTGAAACAATTAATTAATCCAATTTCTTAGACTGAACTAGAAATGTGCTCTTGTTCATTTTTGCAGTACACATTACTTAAGCTAAAGCTTTTCTTCTGTTTTGTGTATGTCAGGTGCTTTGTGACTTACCTGGCACAGGTACTCTTTTGATGAAGTGGTCTTGTAAGACATATTATTACACATATTACACATCATTCCTGTGTAATATCACTGCATACATACACTACCTGTAGTATACTGACTACCTACACTTTGCACTTGTGTCTGTGAAGCCTACTATTTTGTCTTAATATGTTTCCTTTGTACTTGTGCAATTCAATTCAGGTGGAAGAACTGAAAAAAGACCCAGATCACAAGCAGATAGATGAGTTAATGTCTGCCACGTTTTCCAAGTGCAGAAAGGAGATTGTAGGGGGTGAACCTCTCATCGGGGATGCTATGGCGAAATGGCCGGCCATGTTCTGTGAGAGACAGGTATAACAATAGACAACACAGATTAATCATTTAAACCAATTTTGTTTAAATGGATATCATTGTTTTGAGTCTTTTATTCATTATTTCCAAAGACAGCATGGCTGATACTGTACTGACTGCTGTTTTTGGTGACGTGAATATGACTGC